CAGGCCTCTCACTGTTGTGGCCTCTCCCGTTGCGGAGCACAGGCTCTGGATGCGCAGGCTCAGCGGCCATGCTCACGGGCCCAGCTGCTCTGCAGCATGTGGGATCTTCCTGGACTGGGGCACGAACCCGCGTCCCCTGCAACGGCAGGCAGACTCTCAGCCACTGCGCCACCAGGGAAGCCCCCTCCCATTCCATTTTTTTCCCTCAAGATTGCTTTGGCTATTCGGGGTCTTTTGTGTCTCCATACACATTTTAAGATTTTTTGTTCTACTTCTGTAAAAAATGCCATTAGTAATTTGATAGGGATTGCACTGAATCTGTAGATTGCTTTGGGTAGTATAGTCATTTTCACAATATTGATTCTTCTAATCCAAGAACATGGTATATTTCTCCATTTGTTTGTGTCATCTTTGATTTCTTTCATCAGTGTCTTATAGTTTTCTGAGTACAGGTTTTTTACCTCCTTCAGTAGGTTTATTCCTACATATTTTATTCTTTTTGTTGTAATGGTGAATGAGATTGTTTCCTTAATTTCTCTTTCTAATCTTTCGTTGTTAGTGTGTAGGAATGCTAGAGATTTCTGTTCATTAATTTTGTATCCTGCAACTTTACTGAATTCATTGATTAGTTCTAGTAGTTTTCTGGTGGCATCCTTAGGATTATCTATGTACAGTACATGTCATCTGCAAACAGTGACAGTTTTACTTCTTCTTTTCCAATTTGTATTCCTGTTATTTCTTTTTCTTCTCTGATTGCCGTGGTTAGGACTTCCAAAACTATGTTGAACAATAGTGGCAAGAGTGGACATCCTTGTTGTCTTCCTAATCTTAGAGGAAATGCTTTCAGTTTTTCACCATTGAGAATGATGTTTGCTGTGGGTTTGCTGTATATGTCCTTTATTATGTTCAGGTAGGTTCCCTCCATGCCCACTTTCTGGAGAGTTTTTATCACCTATTAACACTATTTTAGCTGCATCCCACAAGTTGTAATTTGGCATATTTTCATTATCATTCAGTTCAAAATATTTTCTGATTTCCATTTTGATTTTTTTCTTTGATCCATGGATGATTTATAAGTGTACTGTTCAATTTCCAGGTGAGTGGAGAAATTCTAGTTATCTTTTTGTTATTTACTTGCTTAATCCCATTGTTATCAGAGGACAGACTCAATGACTTCAATATTTTGAAATTTGTTGAAATGTATGGTCTGCTATATGACCATTTTGATAAGTTTCCAATGTACAGTTAAAGAGCATACAAATTCTATCACTATAAGATACAATGTTCCATATGTCACTTAAGCAAAGTTTGTTCATAGTATTATTCATATATTTTGTGAACTTGATTTTTTTGTCTGCTTGTTCTTCATCACACCATTGAAAAAGCTGTTTAAGGGTTTTCTTCTATTATTGTGGATTTGTCTATTTAGTTAGTTCTGCTAATTTTTTTTGGCGGGGGGGTTCACGGGCCTCTCACTGTTGTGGCCTCTCCCGTTGCAGAGCACAGGCTCCGGACGCGCAGGCTCAGCGGCCATGGCTCACGGGCTCATCTGCTCCGCGGCACATGGGATCTCCCGGACCGGGGCACGAACCCGTGTCCCCTGCATCGGCAGGCAGACTCTCAACCACTGCGCCACCAGGGAAGCCCAGTTCTGCTAATTTTTGTCATATAGTTTGAAACTCTGTTATTTTGGCACATTGATTAGACTTGTGATACTTTTCTAATGGACTGACTTCTTTATCTCCATGAAATATTCCCTTCATTTCTAGCTTCTTTCTTTTTCATATGTCTAGCACTTTTTCACTGGACAGTATATGAAAGAACCACAGAAAGTCTAAATGATATTATTATTTTTTTAATCAGAGGATTTTCTCCTCTGTTAGGCAGACAGAGTGAAGGACAGATCATCTCAGGTGAATGAGGGATTTAACTGAGTTAGGCTTGACTACAGCTGTGGTAAATCTCAGTCTACGTCTGTTTCAACGCTGCTCCTAAGGCATGCCTCCTCAAGATTTTCAACTGACAGTCTAATCGGTCTTTGACTCGTCAATACAGAAAGATTATGGGAGATTCAGAGATTTGGATCTGTCCTCCAAAGTTTTCAGCTTAGCTTTTAACTTCCCACAAAGCTGCAAAATTTGACAAATATCTTAAGGGAGAAACAGGCTGTGTGTTTGAAGGGTCTCAAGTCCCCAGTCCTGTCACTCAGGTTACCACATAAATGTCATGATCTCTGTTGGCTTCTCTGCCTCCTGCACCAGCCTCTTGCTAAGGTCAAGCCTGAATTTCAGCCTCTATCTGAGGCCAAAATTAGTAAGTGCAACCAGGTGAAAAGAGCTGTAGATCTCAGTATCAATTCACTACTTGTGTGCTTTGTTTTCAGGCTCATTCTCCTAGCCAGTCTTTGTTTCCTAAGTGCCACAAGACTGGAGATTTCACTGCCTCTCAGAAGCATCAGCCTAGTTCTTTAACTTTCAGTGCAAACTCAAAAGTCACCAAATTGCTTATGAGGAAAATCTCCAGTTTGCCACCTATATTAGAATCTTCAGAAAAACATAACCAACAGGATATATATAGGTACAGATATGTAGATAAGCAAGCGGAGATTTATTATGGGAATTGACTCCCAAGATTTTTGAGGCTGAGAAGTCCCATGATCTGCTGTCTGCAAACTAGAGAACCAGGAAAGCCTGTGGTGCAATTCAGTCTGAGTCAGAAAGCCCAGGAACCAGGAGCACCAATGTCCAAAGGCAGGAGAAGATGGATCTCCCAGCTCAAGCAAAGAGAGCAAATTCACCCTTCCTCTACCTTTTTGTTCTACTCCGGTCTTCAATGGATTTGGATGTTGCCCACCCACACTGCTCAGGGTGATCTTCTTTACTCAGTCTACTGATCCAGAGGCTAACCTCTTCTGGAAACACACTCAGAAATAATACTTAGCAGTTATCTGAGCATCACTTAGCCCAATGAAGATGACACATAAAATTAATCATCACATCAGCCTAGTCCCATGAAACCACTAAAAGCTTTACTGGTTTCTCTATCCTCCAACAGGCCTCTTCCTGGGCCAATACCCAATCCCAGCCCACAACCAGAATCAGTGAATGTCTCCCATGGGGTAGGGGCCGGGGCGTGGGACAGGTCCATAGGGAACAATCTAAAATGTTCTCTCCATTCCGTAACTTCAGTCTATTCTTTGTTTTATCTATGTCTTTGTTTCTACAGTTCTCTGATGGCTTTAAAATGTGATTCATTTTTGTAATTTATCCAGCTGTGCCTAGACGTTAGCAGCAGCAGCAATGCCTTTCCATGCCCTATTACACCCTACTTGGAAGAGAAACTTAAATCATCACATTAAAATCCTGTACCTTGATACTATGTATTGTGCTTACCCGCAAGGCCAGGTTTCAAACCTGGTTGCTTGTTTGCTTCATACATTTTCAACATAAAATTGGGGATTCCTGCTACAGTCTTTCCTTGATCTAAGCGGGCACCTCCTTTTAATGCAGAGTGATACACCCCACGGGGCATATTCATCATTTCTTGCTTCACAAGTGATGTGAAAAATTCCTCCAAAGCTGAAAGAAATAAAAGGAGACCAAAAGTAGAGTGAATATAGTATGCTAGAAGAGAAACATTCATTCTTAACTCATACACACACACACACCACCAACAACAACTTAGCTATAGTTCATGTCAAATTTCACAAAGTAAAAAAACAATTCTTGATTCCCAGCCCTTTTTTAGTCTTCCCCAAACCAGAATATGGCACCCAGTAATTCAAGCTTAAAAACTTAGTCATTCTTAATTCCTCTCTTTCTCACACTCCTTACATGTAGCAAGTCCTTTTAGATCTACCTTTAAAAATATATCTCAAATCCATCAGTTTCTCTCCATTTTCACTGCTACTTGCCCAGTCATTATCTTCTCTCTTCCTCATCTGGATAAATTTAAAAACTAGTTCTTGGTTTCTTCTCCTCATGACCACTCCTCTAAACCATCCTCTACCCAGAAAGAAGCTAGAGTTTTATGTCATTTCCTTCCCTAACATCTTTCAGTGCTTTTTCACTGTACATAGAATAACGTCAAGACGTCTGACAATGATCAAGGCCTTCTATGACCTAGCCCCTGACTCTCCCTGTGACCTCACCTCTACCACCCACCTTCCTTCCTAGCTGTGTCAAAGATACACTTCCACAAGGCCTTTTTTTCCATTCCTCAATAACACAAAGTTCACACCTAAGTCAAGGCCACTGCACTTGCCATTCCTTCCACCTGGAACACACTAATCCCCAATGTCCACATGACTGGCGCCTTCCTGTCATTTAGATATTTTCAGAGAGTCCCTTTATGACTATCCACCATTCTGCAGTAATATCAGTACACTTACTTTAAAAAATTAATTCATTATTTCTTTGTTTGTGTTCCTTCTAATTAAGCCCAAGCTCTTTATTGCTTGACATCTTCACTTATTATAAGGTAATGCAGTAATGTGGGATCAGAAGACAATAGGGTATCCAAACAAAATACCTGATTAGCACTACAGGTTTATATTCAAGTGTTATTTTCCTAAGGACCACTAGAGGTTGCCCAATGCAGAAACAAAACCAACAAAAATTAAAGCTAAACAAATCATATGGAAAACAAAAAAGGAAACCACCACAGGTGCCTCCTATTATAGGAACAAAAAGCAAGAGTTTGTCTACCTAAACTAGAATTTCATTCTGAATAGGTCTAAAAGTCTCTTTTAAATGACCATGATTAAATTAAATGCAGAAGTACTCACTGGAACATGTATTATGTACCCAGTTCTGTCATTCCTATATAGAACTTTCCTAGGTGCAACAAAGCTTCTCCACTCAAAGCCCAGAGAACACCTGTATAGAATGTTTTCTATTTACCCCTCCAGATCCACCCTCTCAACCCTACTCTGTGCCCCGGAATAATAACCTTTCACAACTGCATCATCAGACTCCCTTGTCCTCTGGCTTTTAGTTGGCTTCATCCAATGGGAGACACTGGCAGGAGATCACAGGGTGCAAACAGAGGTGAGAGCATGTAATCCCCAGACACCCTCCTGCAGGACTGCCCCAGGTGGTCTGCATCCCTCTTTTGAAGGGCCTTGCTCCACTTAGGAGCTTCTTATGACACAGAAGCTCTCTCTTATTCTCCTAACTGCTCCCTTTCCTTACCTCTTCAGGCTGAGGGACATTAACCATTCTTAGATGATTCACCACTGCTTGTGAATTTCCTTTAACCTTGACAACACACCTTTAAGCAGTCCCTTTATTAAACTCTCAATTACTCTCTCTGAATTTCCGGCGAAGACCCTGATCAACACATCATCTAAATGAAAAGTGTGAGTAATATCCAACTGCAGGTCATACATTTCAATTCCTGTATGTACATGCACATGTACGACTGCTTCAAGCTTGGGAGGAGTATAGACTTTTCAGAATGGACCTAAGAATCATGCATTTATGAGGAAAGAATTTCATGCTTTCCCAGAAGACACCCTATTCTGGTAAAAGCTGATACATGTCAAGAGATAAGTACACATCTGCATGAAGACTAACCCAGGAATGAAAATTTGTCTACTTGTCAAGCTCTTCAGAGAATTAAGGATTATCAAATAATTCCAGCCCTGAGAGTAGTTTAAATGAAAGTAAAATACCATGAATGCAAAAACCCAAGAGGACTTTGAACTCTAAGGTTATTCTGGGATACAGGAGGAACTTTGGATAACTGATGGCTTTTTTCTTCCTTGGACTTACTATTAACCGCAGGGGAGGTCCTAGACTCTGAAGAGCCTTCAGGTAGAAGTGGGGACAATCAGGAGAAAGAAAAAGGGAACAAGTCCCTAAGGCTTGTTCTGGACATCAGGAGAAAAGAAAAGGTGAACTCTGTCTAAATTGTACCATTCAGTTTTCTCTAATGAAAGGAGGCAGGAATTTGGGACAGGAGCTTTGTCTAGCAAGAAATACTACTATATACTTGGCTGAATTCCTCAGGAATCTCCATGTGGGATGAAACCAAGGATAAAAACTTCTAACATTACAGGCTACTGAGATTATGACTGAGAAGATAAAGATGTCATTTCTTGTGTTTACTGAACTTAATTTTCAGAAATTAAATTTTTACATCCATGAACATTCAGGGTAGATTTGGGACAGAATAAGGTAATAGATGCATGCTTGGGAAAATGCTGGCTACTACTGAATTAGAATAATTAGGTATAATTAGAATAATTTTTTAAAATGTCAAGGTCCTGTACGCTTTATATCAAAGCTGAAAAAAAAATGCTGAATGACCATATAAGTTAATCTATTTTTTAAAAGCATTAATGTATAGCTCTCATATACTGGTACCACCATGTCTTTGGGAAGAATATATTTCTAATGATGAAACTACCCAGGAAATTTCTGAAGATTCTAATGATCTTTTCACTTATCTTATATAAATAAGCTAAAGAACCATTTGAATCAGTGACTTAAAGTCCCACTGAAAATTTGTCTTGTAGAATAAATTTAACTTTTGAGATGAATTTAAATTTTTCAGTGAAAATGGTTGTTTAAACTAGTTCTCCAGTTTATTTTTACTTGATTCTAACATTTTTCAGTGTGTTTTTGAACACCATACTACCTCAAGCAGTCCCTATAAGACACATAGAAAATAAGTATTTAAGATTAAAGTAAGCTATAATATGTGTTCATCACAAAAGAGTACAATTAATCAGACAGTTAAAATCACTAAAAAAAATGCTAGCTTCCCTGACACAAAATGGGAGTCACCTGGTAAAACGGAAGGAGCAGTGAGTGACAACAGTTTGAGATAGCAAGAACCAGGAATGGAAAGATCCACGTCCTTTTCATCACCCTCCTCATCTTCATCTAGGTCATCAGGGATTTGGATTTCTGGTCTTACCTGAAATGATAGAGAAGGCGATACTAAAATATTATGTAAAATTTTTTCCTTTAAAAAATTGAGTTAGACTCATTGCTCTACAATGCCAAAAGGCCATTAAAATTAATTTTAAAAATGTATTCATTTTCAGATTAACTAAATGGTAAACTCTAATCATCTTATTAGATACACTCCCAGATCCCTGTAAAGAACTAATGGTAATATAGTAAGAAAATCACCATAAACCAGCCTAAGCAATGATTACTATAGAAAACTAATAAAATTTTATACCATCTGACAATAAAGTGCAAACACACATTCAATATATTGAACTTCTGTAGTTTATAATTAAATATTTGCCTTGTCTGAATACATTTTTTAAAAATTTGTGATTTCAGCCATGTTTCTAGGACAAAGCTTAAAATCTTCTAGTAGAATATACATAGTAGAGATCAGGAAGACACAGAATGCTGTAGCTGACTTTTTTTTTAGACTCAGCAGTTTGTTGCTATGGAATATAAAAACACTAAAATCTGCAGTTGGTAGCTATACTTTATAGTGTCTAATTTGCCATTTGAAGATTTTGTGGTTACTCTGTGATTAGTTAGGTTTATTTGAACCAAAAATTAAAAATGTAAAAAGATTACCACTATTGTAGTTTCCACAAGCTATAACTGTCAAGCAATTAATTAAATTTTTAATACTTTCAATGACACACCATGATAATGCCCACATGGAGATAATTAAGCATTAGGGGAGGAAATCAAAATATATAAATGTGGTTTTTATAACCATAAAGTGCCAGAACCCAGTCATTACCATTAGCCTGTCTCCCGGAGTTATTTTTAGAAATAATTAACAATTCCTGCAGACTGCCTTTTTCATAGGTCCCCAAAGCACTGTTCCGTTTAGGAAATGCACTGAGTTAGGATTCTTGCAGGGGGATAAAAGCAAACAAGAGATAAAATGCTTCTCAAGTATAATAACCTCAACTCCGACGAAGCCTTTCAATCATAACTAGCGTTCTTTTCACTAGTGAAGGAGTGAAAGCAACCTGACCACCAAGCACTTTCCAAGACAAGATTTAATTCTGATTCAGTCTTGAGGATCTAATTCTCAGAGGACTGAGCCAGCCATAATTACAGAGATAACAATGATGCATGCTCCACAGAGGGCATGCCTGCATTTGTTGATATCAGCGCACACCAGAGAAACCCTGGCACCTTTGCAAACCTTTTGGTTCTGACAAGCAGGGTTTTCTGAATGTCTCTGGTCTGTGTATATACTTGGAATTTGCCACATTTGGTATCATCAAGAGGTATGTTAGAGATTTTAACTAGTCCTAGTTGCCTAAAAAGTTTCAAAAAAAGGAGTTGGTTCTGGGTCTGTTTACCTTGCTTCCTGACTTTTTACACATCATAGTACAAATTGAAAATAATATCTGAACAGCATATGGGGGGAAACAGACAACAATGCTTACAGCTGGAGGCTACATGAATAACACCAGACACTGCACCAGAGCATCAGAGCACTGGGAAGCTCTGCTACATGTCACATTCACAAGTGATAGGAGACTCAGGGAGGTGGAAGCCAGCGGTAAACACTTAAGCTAATGTGAAAACTCATAGGGATGGTGAGGATGTGGAGAAATTAGAACGCTCACACACTGTGCGTGGGAAGGTAAGACGGTGCAGCCCCTTTGGAAAACGGTTTGGCAGTTTCTCAAAAAGCGAAATGCAGAGTTACTGTATGGCCCAGCAATTCCACTCCCAGGTATATGACCAAGAGAAGTGAAAACAAATGATCACACAACACTTGCAGACGAATGTGAATACATTAGTTGTAATAGCAAAAATGGAAGCAATTCAAATGTCCATGAGCATATAAACAAAATACGGCACACCTACAGGATGGAATATTATTCAATCATAAAAAGGTATGAAGTGCAGATACGTGTTCCACATGAATGAACTTTGGAAACATTATGCTAAGTGAAGGAAGCCAGTCACGAAAGAACACATGCTACATGATTTCATTATAGGAAAGGTTCAGGACAGGTAAATTTACAGAGACAGAAAGTAGATTAAAGGTTGCTTAGCGCTGGGGGGAAAGAAAGGGGTAATTGGGATTGATTGCTAATAAGACTATCTAAAATTAGATTGTGGCAGCTCTGTGATTAGTTGCACAGTTCTCTGAATACACTAAAACCACTTGAATTGCATGCTCTAAATGGGTGAATTGTATGGAATGCGGATTATATCTCAGTAAAGTTATTTAAAAAGAAAGGAAGGAGGAAGGGAGGAAGGGAGGCGATAGGAAAGAGAGGAAAGGGGAGGGGAGAGTGTGGGTTGGAGGAGGGGCAGCAGAAGAGGCAGCGGCACAAGCGGAAGCATAGGAAATAGAGGCGGAAGCTGCCACCACCTTCAGAGGGACCTCAGCTGGTGGATGAACTAGGCCGAGTGACCAATGCTCCCAATTCCAGAATTATGTAGTATAAAAGGAATCTGATCTTTTTTGCACACATTTTAGCCTATCCAGTTTAACTGCTCAATGAGTCACAGCACCCAGGCCATCAATATTTCTGAGAGCCATTAAAGAAGACCTACTAGGTTGGGGATTTAAAAAAAAAAGATCTGTTCATCCATCTTAAGTTGTCTAATTTTGCATTCACATAACTGCACCCCTATATTAATTTATATGCTGTGCAATAAACAACATATGTCTGCATCTTACATACACATATATGTTAACAAAGACACTAGAGATGTACTGTAATTTTATTTTATTTATTTATTTTTGGCTGCGTTGGGTCTTCGCTGCTGCTCATGGGCTTTCTCTAGTTGCAGTGAGCGGGGGCTACTCTTCGTTGTAGTGCGCGAACTTCTCATTGCCATGGTTTCTCTTGCTGCGGAGCACGGGCTCTAGGCACGTGGGCTTCAGTAGTTGTGGCTCACGGGCTCTAGAGTGCAGGCTCAGTAGTTGTGGCGCAGGGGCTTAAGTTGCTCCGCGGCATGTGGGATCTTCCAGGACCAGGGCTAGAACCCATGTCCCTGCGTTGGCAGGCAGATTCTTAACCACTGCACTGCCAGGGAAGCCCCAATGTACTGCAATTTAAGTATAGATGATATACTCTGCCTACTTATAATGGTATGATTACACCTTCAATTTTGTTTCTTCAAAGGTGAGCTGATTCTCCTGAACTAAGTAGCACTTATTGTTAGACTTTGGTTTCATGGCATTTCCCTACTCCTCTGTTCATCTCTTAAAGAGGTATTTGTTCCAGCTTCCCTATGCTAGTCCCAGTCCTTTCCCTTTGTTTGTATGCAACAAGTGAATAAGATCAACATGAGTACAACTAAGGAAAATCAAGGGAAGTCATATGAAAAAATACTTGTTAAAATTATAAAATGTTGCTAACTATATTACATTAGCTACTCAAACATCCAGGAAAAACATGTCTATTTAGAACACACACACACACATGCATGCACATACACACACCAACTACACGCTTCCAATTATAGCTAAGCTTTGTTGAAGAAACTTAAAGGGAGAGCCAAATATAAAATGGTAAATTACTTTTAAAATCTGCTTTAAGTTGAATATTGGAAAGCTTATCCTACAAAATGCCTTACTTACTACATTTTCTGAGCCAGATAACCTTTCAACCACGTTTCTGTGTGTGCAACCTAAGAAAATCCAGGGGTTTGTGCATAAACAGAGGATTTATTTGGAACTCGTTAAGTATCTGCATAAATTCATTTAAGAAGAGAAACAGCTTCTGATGAAAGCAATAACATTCACTTAAATCAAAGCAGAAGAGGTTACACCACATTAATACCAACCCAGGGTGCATAATAAGTTCTTTTATATTACTCGCTTCTCAAATTAACTCCAGAAATCAACAACACTATCTTAAGAGCTCTATAATAAAAAGTTTAATTTTTAAGCAGCCAAGCATTTTTTAAAGAACCCAAGTCAGAGAGAAGAGTCAACCTAAATGTTTATCAATTACTGACTGTTTTACCAGAAAAACCATCCTTTATAGTTTTTTTGGTTTTTCTGTTTTGTTTCATTTTGGGGGTGTCAGGGGGCACTAAAGAAGGCAAAGGAGAAGGTTAAATAGCTAAAAAGACAAAGAAATACAAACTAAAAGGGAAAAATCATTCATGTCTATTTTCTAACACTGAAATCAACAGGTCCTCAAAGAAGCCCCCCCAGAATTTTTGGACCAACTTTAGACTTGCATGTTTCAAGTGATTAACAATAATAGTTTTACAAACCAACAAACACATGGATTCATTCACCGGCCTTATTTCCGTAGTGTAGTGGTTATCACGTTCACCTCACACATGGTTTCATTCAACATTCCCAGCTCATAAGACAGCCTAGCACTTAGTATATGTCCAATAAATAATCACTAAACCAATGCAAGTGTTAAGTGTCTATCATCAACGATCCCACAAAACTTCCTAATAACAAACCAGTGACAAGAAAGATGAGTTAATGAATCTGCTATTCAAATCCCTGACTCACATGATATCTCATTCAGCTCTACTCTCCAATGACATTTTCCATCTTACCTTAGGTGGTACTGTTTCGTTTAACCCTAAATATTCCTTCTGATGTCTGTCACTCCTTTAATGCCTTCTGTTTTACCAGCCTGTTAGCTTTCTTTCAACAAGTTTCACAGTTTAAGTTGATGCAGCAATGAACAAGAAATCTTTCTTTGATAAATTTAAAGGTGTACTTACAAAAGTAGTTGAATTATAATCCACAAAAGTAACCATGTGGATAATACCTTTAAAAAAAAATTCTCTTTTTAAAAAAAAATTTCTACTTGAAATTCACTGTATGTTCTGTTAAAAGATTATTTCACAAGTTTCCACAAATAGAAAAAGAGAACCTGTACACCTTTCACTGGAAAGGTATACAAGTAGCCTTCAGTTTTGTGAGTAAACCAAACTGCCCTTGGTGCAGAGTGAGTAAACTCTGACAACAAGGAGGAATCTTAGATTTTACACTAGAGAAGTCCCTACCTGGCAGAGACTTTTGAAACAATTGAAAGTATGCTTTTGAAGAAAGTGAGTCACAGTTTCACGTCACTGCCACTATCTACAAAACAGAGGTGGGATCTGACTGGGTTGCACCCTTAGCCTTCAGGGACTTGTTTGGAATATGAACATACTGACCATTTTCTGGACTTTTAGTTCTTAGATATTCAAACAGCCAAATTGAAAATCAGTAATTAATAAAAAGAAGAACAATGTATGGTGTGGTCTTGGAAGTAATGATTCTCCATGCAAAGGAAGGTCCTCTATATCAGAAACTGGGAGTTGAAGTGGGGTGGACTCTTTTAAACCATATGTCCTCTCATCTTAATCTCAGTTAAGAATATCCACGGTAGTGACCCTCTGTTACATATGAGAGGGAATCACATCCTAGAAGGGGGTTAGGGCAGAGAAAAGGTTGAAAAGCATGGCTAAAATCAGTCTTAGAGACTTCCTTTACAGCTCTTCACGCTGTGCTGGTGAAAACCCAAGCATATACAGTACATCACTACCCTTTATGTTGGAAGGTATAAAGAGCTATTTATGGTTATTCAGGGATCAGAGGATATAGAAGAGTTAGATTAAGAAAGTATCTAATATTTGACTGCGTACAGCACTTAGCTGAGTAATAACTCTAACAAACACAACCAGAAACTAAACATAACCCTCAAGTAGGATAAAATAGAAACATAACATTATTTAAAGAGGTAGAGACTAAACAGTCAAGAGTATATGGGAGTTATTTAATAAAAGCTATCATTCCAGCTGGAATGTTTCAGCAATAATAGCTAAAAATAAAGGTAATCATTATGTTGTGATCTAAATTACCAATTGCTTATTTAAAATAATATAGGGACTTCCCTGGTGGTCCAGTGGTTAAGACTCTGCACTCCCAGTGCAGGGGGTCAGGGTTCGATCCCTGGTCAGGGAACTAGATCCTGCATGCATGCCACAACTAAGAACCCACGTGCTGCTACAAAGATCCCACACGCGGCAATGAAGATCCCACGTGCCACAACTAAGACCCACTGCAGCCAAAAAATATATATGTATGTATATATATAAAATAAGAAAAAGTATCTTTCCAGATAGTGTAGGTAATCTATTGGTAGGAGTTTACATACCAAATTTACATGTAATTTTTTCCTTTTTCTTTACCTCTCTCTCTTTTTTTCAGAAGCTATGGGTATTGCTAGTCACCATGGTGTAGTCTGAAATCCCATCTTTTTAAATTTTACGAGTCATAGGACATCTTTTGTTAAGGTTTCCTGTTTGTGATAACTGCACAACAAGCTGGCCAATCTGTCTTCGAGTTCTCAGTGACATGGGAAATCCTGCCTCACTTAGGATTTGGTTTTACAAGAGCCTATCTTCAGTCCCTCCAATTCAATTCAATAAACAGAAGTTTGCCTGGTTACTACTGGCATCTAGTCACTGCATAAGCTCAACCCAGAAGAAAAAGTCAACTCATTTTAATGCCTGAGGATCCCAAGAAATTCACAATAAAACTTGCCACTTCACCTCAAGGACAGATTCTGGGTAATGTTACACATAACTTCTAACACAATGTCTTCCTTACACTCTAAAGGCATTAAATAACCATTTGTATGCCTTTGAATTAGCAGTAACACTAAATGTGAAATCATACACTTAGGGACTTCCCTGGTCGTGCAGTGGTTAAGTATCTGCCTGCCAATGCAGAGGACACGGGTTCGAGCCTGGGTCCAGGAAGATCCCATGTGCTGTGGAGCAACTAAGCCCATGTGCCACAACTACTGAGCCTGCACTCTGGAGCCCGCGAGCCACAACTACTGAGCTCTCGTGCCTCGAGCCTGTGCTCCGCCACAAGAGAAACCGCCACGATGAGAAGCCCCATGCACTGTAACGAAGAGTAGCCCGCGCTCGCCACAACTAGAGAAAGCCCGGGCACAGCAATAAAGACTCAATGCAGCCATTAAATAAATAAATAAATATTTTTTAAAAAGAAAGAAATCATACACTTAATTCCTTAATATAACCTGATAATTTAAAGCTGGTTATACTAGGTAGGTAGTAGAAAAGGTTGTATGTTTTTAGTTTAGTCTAAAAACTAAGATAATATCACACAGTGTGTTAACCCTTAAAAGAGAGTGATACTTTCTTCATCCAGTTCTCTGGGACTAACCTATATATCATTTCAAAGTAAACGAATAAATAGCAGATTTTTTTCAGACGGCACTTCAATTCTGTATCACAAATAAAGATCTCTGGCTGCCCAGGTGGTAGAAAACCTTACTCTGAGCAGGCCGTGCTTGGATGTGAAGTTCAAGACGGTGCACTAACTGGGTAAGGTGGTTCCTATGGTGACACAGACCTTGCCCTGGGCACAGGGCAATGCAATCATACACCAAGTCACCCTATAGAGATTTCATTTTCACCTTCCATCTGCTTCAGTTCATTATCTGTGAAGTCTAAGACCTCTACAATCTACTACAGATTAAACACATTATAAATATAAATTCTTATCTTTTATGGACAACATATCTAGAGTTACAGGTAAGAATTCCCTAAGCGGGGGAATATAAGTAAAGTTATAAACCGTATAGGTAAAGAGATACCGCTAAGAAAGCAGAAAAACCTACCTTTTCAGGCAGATGAAGAATGGTGTGCTCCCTGGCACCGAAGTGTGACAGAGATTTATATGCAGCATTTGCTACAACTGGGTCCTAGATAGAGTAAAAGTAAGATAAACAAAAGAAACAACATATATTAAACATCAACTCTGGAGGCAGAAAGAAAATCTTCCCTGACCAACCTCAAAGTTCTATAGTCAGTGCTTTGGAAATGGTATTCAAGCCTTGCTTAGTACGTCCCGATTAAAAATAGAGAGAAAACATCACTGGACAGAGGCATCAGAAAAACCACATTTCTATCCTAGCTGGGACATTAAACATAAAATAACTCCTAATTGCTCAAGTCCCCATGAGGTGGTACGGTTTAGCGGAAGGAGTATGAGGGTATAGAGTTTGATAGGCCTGGAACTGGACTCTGAGTCTCCGGCTACTCCCCCGGAGAGCTAGTCTTCTGGAATCTAAGCTTTTTCACTCATGAGCCAGGTGGAACATCACCAACACCCTCTGCTCTATACTCCTTGATTGGAAATGACATTCGAAAAATGGAGAGTATACACGCTGCTATATATAAAATAGATAACTAATAAGGACCTACTGTACAGCACAGGGAACTCTACTCAGTACTCCGTAAGGGCCTATATGGGAAAAGAATCTAAAAGAGAGTGGATATATGTATATGTATAACTGATTCACTTTGCTGTACACCTGAAACTAACACAACATCGTAAATCAGCTATACTCCAATAAAAATTTTTTAAAAACCAAAAACAAACAAAAAATGGAGCAGACTTTTTGTTTGATGTGCTTATCCGTGGGGGAGGGGCAAAGCAGGAAAGAGGAAGGACCTTTAAAAGGAGAGACAATGGCAACAGTCCCTCCTCATATCTGTCAGTGTCACAAAGTAACAAGTGCATTTTATGGTGAAAACGTATTAACTGGCATAAATTAAGAATAATTTTTAAAACCTAAATTTATTAATAGGCACAATTCTTTTAAAACCAAGAAGGCATCATTTCAAGGGAGTTATATTTTTATCCTAAGAGTCTTATTTCACAGTTCTTTCCCCAGCTTGGTTCTGTTTCACTGACGCCCTTGTGACAGTACCTTGTTTTGAGTGTGGTTCCAGAGGAAGCTGAGGACTTGAACTTTAAAATTCTGAAAAATCAACAAACAACAGAATAAAATTTTAAGACAAAGATAAAATTGAGAGTAAACAATCTAAAGTAGCAAATGTGGAAATTAAATCACTTTAAAAATTATACCACTAGTAACTGACTTAACCTGTACTTACCCATCGTTCATAAAATGAAAATACTCAGAAACAGACTCATCATCTAAACATATGGATATGTTAAACAAGGTGAGATTTTAAGATTATTGAATTTAGAAACCTAACCATTTCTTACTGATCTCTCAAGTCTTAGTACAAATGTCACTCTCCTTTTTCATGCCTCTATTCCTAACCCCCTACCCAGAAGAGAGCTCTCCCTTCTCTAGGCGGCCATACGGCACATGGCACAATTTAGCATCTAATGTGATTATCTGTGTATGTGGTCAACTCTCTACTAGCTTGTACACTCCTTAAAGCGGTGGCTGTCTTTCTCATTTCAAAGGCCAGTACATAAAGAATATAAAGCCCAGTTCCCCAAATGACAAATATTTAATAAATAATTGAGCATAAAAAGCCATTTATCTTCCAACACTCAATGTCTTCTTAATTTCAGCCACATCTAACTTCTTGCCCTGCTAAATCGTATGAGGTTCTTCTATACCTCCTTGTGTTTGCATATTCTCTTAAAAACATCAATGAAAAGCAACATTTTATTAATTCTGCACGATCCTAGTCTAATAGCACCAACTAAGGTTTCCTTAGATTTCTCCTAAGAATGCTTGTCACTTCCACCACCACACTCTCGTAGCCCTTTGAGTAACTGTGCTCATCAAATGTTATTATAATTATTATTGCTTATGTCTATATCCTTTACCAACTTTTGAGCTTTCAGAAGGCAGGGACTGACAACATGGTATAATGGAAAAATATAGCCTTGGAGCTAGAAAGTCCTGGGTTTAGAAAACAGCTTTCACTTAGAAACTACAGTGTTGGTTCAGTTACTTGTCTTGCATGTAGCAGATACTCAATAAATATTTGTTTAATGAATGGATAGACCTCTTAAAACCTCAGATTCTTTTGCTATAAAATGAAAAATAATAACTTCCTATCAGATATTAGAACTAATTGATATAAAGTAACTGGAAGAGCGCTGGGGAATATAATAACTACTTAAAATAGTGTCTATTATTGTTTATTAGTATCCCTAAGGCCTAGCACAGTTCTAATAAATACATTCTGAGTCAATGAATGAATGATCAAGCACTTTGCAAAGCAATTCAGAAAATATACAAATTGAAACATGGATTCTATTTTCGACAAGCTTATATTTTAATGGAGAAAATATATGTATACATATACCTATAGTATAAAATAGAAATAAATGTTCTTAAGACAGTATAGATAAAGAACTTTGGGAGCAACAGACTCCTGTTGAAGAAAAATTCTCAAAGGATGAGATAACTTAAACCAATTCTTTATTTCCTAAAATAGACTTTAAAATTAGAGGTGAAAAGAAAGTAATTCTAGACAGAGAGAACAACATGAACAAAGGAAAAGCAATGGAAAAATCTGGAAGCGGAGAAGGAATCTACAATGGTTTGGTTTTCCTGGAGTGCAGGAGGCGGAAAAGCAGAATGAGGCCAATTCTAAAAGACCTTATTGGCTCCATATAAAGAAACTGGACTTCACTTTTGGTAAACACAAGGCATTTGAGGTGACTAGGGATAGCAATAACCTAAGAAATGTTTTGGGAAAATTATATTCAACTCGGGCTTACATACAAACAAACTCTAAGCAGTTAATAGAAAACAAATTATTTAAACACACACAGGAAGAGAAAGGCGGAGGGAGGGAGAAAGGAAGGGAAGGAGGGAGAAAGTGGGGGAGGTGGGGAGAAAGGGAGAGACAGAGCGACAGATTGGAGAGGGGTCTTCTCTACGTTTCTTTACTTCTGCTGCCAGGTGGGCTCTGATCACTGAAGAAATCTCCCTACTAGGAGGAAACTGATGGATAAAATGGTCCCAAAGCCATCTATCTGAATAACAGAGGAATCCTAATGTTATTACAAGCATGAACATAAACCAAAATAAAATGTCACTGAAAAGGAATGTAAAATTTGAAGGAAAAAAAAAATAGTCCAAAAGACAACTTACAGCTTACCAATGTAAGCAAACATAAAAAACACACAAGCCACTTCATAAATTCAATGTAAGAAAAACTGAAAGTACAAGCAATACAAAGGTATATGAGTTCAGCCCTTGAAGACAGAAAATAAATATACGTATCACTGCATACAAAGTCCTTATTTTGTGTTTTGGTATGGGCTCCTTATCAGTAGCTTGGCAGATTTTCTGACAACATAGGGTATGTACCCCCGAACAGTGGCCATAAAAAAGACTGTTGGTGAACTATATACCCTAGGAGTCTCGAATTGATTCTTTTTTTAATACCCCAAAACAAAAGCCCAAATGTGAGAATAAACTCACAATATCCTGTATTGGTTCATTCATTCATTCAACAACTAGGTTCTGAATATACATTATGTACGATGCTAGGTATTGTGTCCTTGGTAAGGACAAATTTGATTTTATTCACTGTGTAGCATTTAGAATGATTAGAAGTATTATCCTACAATCCTGTCTTATGTGATCTAAAACAAGTAAGGGACTATTCTTGGAATCTTACAGAGGGCCAGTTTATCAAAGTCTGTGAAGCACTAAATCAAACTAAACGTTCACCAAGACTTCAAGTGGAAATCAATTGAGGCTCTTTGAAGGAAAAGTCAATAAAAAGGTGAGCTTGAAAGGGGATATGGCTACAAAAGTGGAGATATAAATGAATCTGCCACCCTCTCATTTCATTCAAAGTAGAGATAACAGAGAAAATGTTAAACAGAAGTACGTGAATCTTACAGCAAAACATCTTCCACCAAGTGTTTCAATTCATTACAATGACAAACATTGCCTAGTTCATAAAATTATTTTCCTCTCCTAGGACAGGTTGATTTTACAATTGTCTTCATTGAAGAGTATACATGAAAAGCAAAGCTATATATAGAAAATGTAAACTAATAAACTAACACGTAAAAAATCAAATCTCTATGCCTAAGCTAGAAAAACCCCACAAATGACACTATGTCTATACTACTCAGAAGTCTGCCCTGCCTTACTAAAGGCTTTGTAACACTTTTTAGAATTTAAAACACCAACAAAATGCATTTAAACTGTTGGCCTCATGAATTCTATTATTTTAGAAACACTATTTTAACATATGGGCTTTTAAAAATCTTGACTATACTTTCATAATAAAAACTTGGCATCCTTCACGTAAATAAATCTCAAAGACAGAGGACTGATAAGGGTGGATATCCTCCTACTCCTAGGAGTCCATAAAGATATCAACATGTTCACAGAACAAAAAGTGCTAAATGATTTTTGGCAAACAAAAGATTACGAATATTTTTTTCCAAAAGTTATGATAAAGCACATGTCTTCCCAATGTAGAAACAGACAATTTATTGAGCTCTGAATGCATACCTCATAGTCAGCTGTATTGACTGTTAAGGAAGGAACCAGAGAAAACAGTTCACTGAGGGTCTTCAAAATGAGAGGTCTCATGTCACAACTCAGCTTTGGGGAGAGAGCATTCCAAGTGGAGCGAATACAAACCACCTGTGAAGCAAATACAAAAGTCAATGCCTAACAAAATCCCAGCTCATATGACGCCGTTAGTAAAGAGTACTGTCTTTCATTATAAGGAAACTTAAGAACAAGAACACTCCTAGCAATTAAGATCTGATAAGTCATCACCCCTCAAAAGACATTATTTAAACTAATATAAACTGTTTTTGAAGAAGATCCAGCCTGCCTCACACAACTGCTTTTTTACTTTATTTTGGTTAACCAAAGAAGCAAAGCTTTGTCGCTCTCCCTCATGCACAAATACACACAAAATTCACTCCAGGTTAGCTACATTGTTGAATAGCCATTCTCTGAAACCAAGAAGGGTAAGATAATGCTAGAACATTTCTAAATCCAGGTATTCACCGTTCTCATAGTTTTCTAGTCTTGCTGAAACTGTAACAACACTCAAAAAATTGGGATGTTAGCATACATAAATCAAACACTCTCAAATCATCTTATAAACTTCTAAATGAGGTAGGTGAATAATTTTATTATTTAAAATAATAACTTAAAACTTTGTTTAAAAAGTCATTTCAGATTTTTAAGAGGCTGTTAAATGCTAAAATAAAACTAACAAAAATGTTATTCTTAGCTTGACCCAATTCCCTTAAACCAAGTATTCTTAAGCCATTTCAAGATCTGGTTTTAAGGATATTCAAATATCTTCTTAAGTTCAATTCCAACTACAATGGATGATTTCTTCACTTACAGATATTGGATTAAAATTTTAAAACTCAGGCAGGAAGAGTGGCAACACAGATCAATCAGATAGAGTTTAACAAGGATTAATCTTTCTAAACCACTACAATCTCTTCCCTTAAGCTTCAATTAACACACACGATTTATCTTCATCTACAAACATAAATTATTTAGGAAATACTACATGAGTTAACAAGTGAAAAGATGTCAAAGATACATGAATAATATATATTTAAAGACACAGATTAAGGAGAGACTCAAAGAAGACAGCAGAAAGAGTATCTCAGAAAACTTGGATTCAGTGCTTTTGCTCTTATTTTCCACTTTCCATGAAACAGCAGAAAAATGTTCTTTGACTTGGGATCCACTACAAATTTGGATTCCACTAGCATTCACTAAGGGCAGTACTGTCAGGCATGACAGTAGTTCTAATATTACAAATCATCAGTATTTGAAATAAAAAAGAAACCAACTCTTTAAAAGCTATCAATTCAACATCGAGTATATACCTAAAGTAGTATACAGCACTAAGAGGAACAATAAAATACAAAACATAATCTAACCCTTCAAAGAATTTACCACCGTATCAGAAAGGAAGAGAAAAGTCTGTAATTCTAAATCATTGGGAAACAAAAGGTGCATGATTAGATTTTGAACTATTTTCAACAGAAAACAGTTTCAGGAGGAACCCAGGGAGGAAAGCTATTTCAGTGGGTGGGTGTCATTACAGTATCAGGAGGCAAAAAGTCTAGAGATGGGACTTGAAGAAGGAATGGAAAGAAATCAGGCAGACATCCCACAAGGAAATGGAAAGCATAAGTCAAACACAAATAAAGCAAGCTGTAGACATAAAAAGCACGAGTCCTGGTGAAGCAAGGCTGATGGATCAAAGAGTACCTAGAATACCAAAGCAGTTTGAATCAGAATCAAAAGGAAAAGGAAGCCTCCAGAGATTTCTGAGTTGGGGAATAAACTAAATTCAAATACTATTTTTGAAAGATTCTTCTGGTAGTCTTAGAGCCAAACTCAAAGCAGTCATGAACCTCTCTAATTCCTATTTGTCAGTAGTCCCTAATATAAAGAACCTCAAAAGTTTTCCAAAAATCGTATGCTCAATATACTAATTATCCACGCTTTCTCCTCACTTTAAATTCCTATCTAATTCCAACCCACGTTGTTTCAAGACAGTTCAAATCTCAATTCTAGAATTAACTTTTCTCTTACAACTCAGGCCCTCATTTTATCCCTTCCTTTCCTCTAACTTCTAGCACTTAAAACTCTGTACTACCCAACTTAGCATTTAATTCCATACTGCCTGGTATTGTTCACTATTTTTGTAAATATAAATTGTCTTCTCAACTAGATATTAAGTTCTGTAAAGACAATGACCACATCTTATAGTTCTCACCCCACCCCCACCCCGCTCACCTAGCACAGTAATCACTATATCAGATTATCAGTAGTTATCAACTACTGATGGTACTGGAGACTGAGAGGAATGGTAAATCTGAGATAGAGAATAAAAGAATTAAAAGGACTTGGAGAATGAAGTGAGATGATTTGGGCCTAGAGACCTGGGTGAATAAAAAGCAACACAATTAAACGGAGGGGAAACCTGAAGAAGGAGCACCTTTGCAGGAGATGGGGGATGGGTATGTTTAACTGGAGTGGATGGAAAGACATCTAGAAAGAAATATCCTGCAGGCGCGAGGGAAAAAGGACTGTAACTCAGATGTAAGGTCTGCTAACAACAGCTTTGTCATGCAAACATTTCTGTAAATCAAAATACCAGGAGGAAGTATGGTCTCATACATGTTCTGATGCACTTTGCAGATCAACGAAAAAGATCTCTGGCCACCAATTATGGAAGTACAAAAAGGGCTTGCCCTGTCCATGGATGGCGGGTGGGGAGTGAGGCTATATCTTCTAAGTATTTTCAAAGGTTTACTAATTTTTTTAAAAGTCTTCCTCCTAGAAAGTTTGAAAACTAGTGCCTGAAATGGTACTCTACATGTGGAATATGAGAAGATATTCCAGAATCCCAGCCATGAATTGTGCCTTAAATGTAAGCAAGGTATACCTGCAGGGAATATACATAAATCCAGGCTTGCCTATACATAATCAGGAGCAGGGAAGCCTCTAACAAAGAAGCCTGCTTCCTTTGACCTTCCCAACCCTGGCTATTCTTGACTAGATCTTAGAGATCTTCCAGCCCTGACGGCTTTGGATTCAACCGATTACTATCTTGCTATGTCCATCTCCTAGAACCCTGTGGATTTGATCCACCAGCCTGTTGACCTGTGCAATCTGTCATATTATATCAGATTAGTCAAGCTCATGTTCCTGGTCTTTACTGGCCTGTTTCGGGTCTACTGTTTATTACCCAATGACTTATCTGTTTTCAAAAAATAGACTGACTTCTGGCTCCAACAACATGATGGGCCATACTTGAAATAACTGATAAAGAAGAAAATTCTTTTATATATAGCTGAGCCGAAAAGGAAAAATGGGGGTGGGGTTAATTACCCAGTGCCGGAAACACAGAGGGAAATACCTGCAGTGTGGTATTGAAAGGAAGTTGTCAGTTTCCATGACCTAATAGCTTGAGTTTAAATGTCCACATGGTAAGAGGAGATACTGCCTTTATCCTATACATGGAAGGGAGTCAGAACTGAAACCCTCACATAAAACCAGCACCCTTGAAGGGCTGCACCCTAGTGTAATGGTTGGACTAGAAACCAATGAGCTGAGAAATTAACAAAAAATGGCAGTGAGCTGGGGGCACCTGGACCACTCTCAAAAAGCACTCCCATAATACATAACCCAAATGATTTGCACAAATAAGCCACACTAAAAATAAGTTTATATGTCTATACATTATAATATGACTGTTTAAAACCAAAGGCAAAGAGACAATCTTCAGAGATAAACGGGAGAAAATACAGGCTATCTACAAAGGAGCAATTTAGAGTAACAACAAACTTTTCAAAATTAACAAGACCAAAAGTCAGTGCAATAAGATCTTAAAAGTGCTAACAGCTTACAATACTAAATCCACAGGAAACTATCAGCCTACAATACTAAATCCACAATTCAACAGTATCAGCCTACAATACTAAATCCTATGATACTAAATCCACAGAAACTATCAGCCTACAACACTATCAGCCTACAATACTAAATCCACAATTCAACAGCAGGGGCAAAACAAGCAAAAACAAATAAAATACAAGGAAAACTATCAGCCTACAATACTGAGCCCACAATTCAACAGTAAGGGCAAAACAAGCAAAACCAAACAAAATAGAAGGAACAATACCTAGGTATTATGCATATATAGCATATGAATATTTACCAACTAATGACTCAGAACATCTTGCTTAGTTTGTCTATGAGATTTTGGAGAATTCATTCCATTCTGAATGCTTACGTTATGTATATTTTGTTGCCATTTTTGTTTCTTGGGGAGAATGATCCTTTTTCCATGTTATTCTTCCACAAGAACCTTAGCGACACTAAACAGCACAGATTATGAAGATCCGATGCAACATGATATACTGTAAAGAGCACATGACTAGAGTTAGAAACCCCAGGTTCTCCCATTTGGTAGCTGTGGGACTATGGCAGTCATTAGTCTCCTTCAATTTGTGTCCGCAGCTGCAAAACGGAAATAATATTACTAACACCTGCTCTATGTATAGCACAAGGTTAACAGTAAAGGCAATACTGAGGCAATTGTATGCAAATGTGCTTTATACAGTGTAAAGGAAGCTTGCCAATGGAAAAGATAATGAATCGCAAAAGAATCAGAGTCTTTGCTTCAGTTCTTGAGCTGTAAAAATGAATTTGTTTCTTCGCAGAGGAATAGATAGCTATCTTCTAATTCTACCTCCAAAAGGTATTTCTAGAAATTCCCAAGAAGAGCCTACTCCTTTTGTCCTGATGCTTTACTCCAACAGAGGGAAAGCTTTTTAAAAACATTTAGGCTATGAAAACCACCTTATTTGCCCTTTTCATAATGAAGGTAAAAGAAACTGCCTTCACAATTAGAGGACTCAAGCCATCACCATGCAGTGAAGCCCGCTTAAGCTAATTCAGCACACACAATTCATAAAACAGGATGCTTCTGTTACCAAAATACAATAACATGGGATAAGAGGGAGTTTAAGGAGCTATAATCAATGGAGCAGAAACAATGGGAAAAATAACATTCTTTCTTATCCTAATAATATGGGGTTAAAGGTTATAGGTATAAAAAAATTACTAGCACAGGTATATTTAAGCAATTT